TAAGGGATCCTCCATAACACCATCAGCAATTTTTTTCATCAGACACTTTGGAGGCCAGAAGAGAGTGGGCCCATATAGACAATGTGCAAGAAAAGCGGGTGGGGTGGGCATGGAAACCTCTGTCAACTAAGAATCCCATATCTGGATTAAAAAATGATGGAGAAATTAAGACATTTTCGTATAAACAAAAGCTAAGGGAGTTGTTAACATAAGATCTGCCTTGAAATAAATGTTCCAGGGAGTCCTGCAGGGTGAACTGAAAGGACTCTACACAGTAACTCAAACCTATAGGAAGAGATAAATGTAAATGGATTAAACCCTCCAATCAAAAGACAGAGTTTGGCACAATGGACAAAGCATGATTTAATTATAAGCTGTTTATAAGAGACTCATTCTAGGTGCAAAGACACAAGTAAATTGAAAATGGAAGTGTTGTGATTTGGATGTAAGGTGTCCCCCTTACCTGTGAGACAATGCAAGAAGGTTTGGAGGAGAAGTGATTAGGTTACAGCATTAAACTAATCAGTGAATTAATCCCTGATGGGTTAACTAGTGGTAACTGGAGTCAGGCGGGGTGTGACTGGAGAAACGGGTTCACTGGGGGTGTAATGATGGGGTATATATTTTGTATATGGATAGAGGAGTCTCTCTCTGCTTCCTGATCTCATGTGAGTTGCTTCCCTCTGCCACAATCTTTCACCATGATATCAGTCTCATCTGGAGCCCTGAGGAATGGAGCCAACCTTCTATGAACTAAGACCGCTAAACCCGTGAGCCTCTAAATAAACTTTTCCTCCTAAACTTGTTCTAGTCAGATCTGTTAGTCATAGCAGTAAAAAAGCTGACTAAAACAGAGAGGATGGTAAAAGATATAATGTTGCAAAATAGCAATCAAAGAGAGTAAAAGTGACACACTAATATTGTACAAAACAGGATGTTATATATTAATAAAATGCTGAATACAGCAAGAAGATATTACAATTACATACCTAATTATAGACCATCAAAATATATGAAGCGAAACTCAACAGAATTGAAGGAGAAATAAAATTTTGACAATTATAGAGACCTCAATTCTCTCAACAAAATCCCTGTCAGCAACTGGACAGGGATAAGAAACGGAGAATTTAAACAACACAATAAGCATACCAGATCTAACAGATATATACAAAACACTCTATTCAACAACAGCAGCATACACATTCTTCTCAAGTGCACACAAGACATTTTCCAGAATAGACCACATTAGGTCATAGGTTAAGTCTCCATAAATTAAAAGTGATATATACCATACAGAGTGTTTTCTTTAACCCCAACAGGATGAAGTTTGAAATCGATAACAGAAGTAAACTGAAATTAAACAAAACACTGTTAAAGAGCCAATGGATCAAATAAGAACTCACAAGAGAAATTATTAAATACTTAGAGATGAATGAAACTGAAAACACAACATATTAAAACTTGTGGGATACAGTGAGAGCAGTGCTAAGGGGAAATGTATAGCTGTAAATACATACATTAAAAAAATAAGAAAGGGGCTGTGGATGTGGCTCAAGCGGTAGCGCGCTCGCCTGGCATGTCTGCGGCCCGGGTTTGATCCTCAGCACCACATACAAACAAAGATTTGTGTCCGCCGAAAACTAAAAAATAAATATTAAAATTCTCTCTCTCTCTCTCTTAAAAAAAAAAAGAAAAAGCCTACAACCTAACTTTGCAACTTAAGGAATGAGGAAAAAAAAAGACAACTAACCTAAAGCTAGAGGAAGGAAGCAGATAATAAACATTAAGGGAGAGATAAAATTGAGAACACAAAAATAAGGGAAATAAAATCAGTAAAAATCAAAAGTTGCTTCTTTGGAAGGACCAAGAAATCAACAAGCCATTAGCTACATGGATTAAGAAAAAAAGGGAAGAAGGTTCTAATTACTAAAGTTAGAAATGAAACTGGGGATATTACTACCCTATTCTACAGAATAAAAAGAATTTCATGAGAATACTATGAACAATAATATTGCAACAAGTTTGACCTTGATGAAATGGACAAATTCCTAAAAATGCAAAATCTACTATGATTAAATTATGAAGAAATAAAAAAAATATGAACAGACATAACTAGCAAGGAGATATATCAGGAGTCAAGAAACTGATGATAAACAAAAGCTGGACCTGATGGTGTTAGTGGTGAACTCTACTGAACATTTAAAACACAATTAACACTGATTCTTCTCAAAGTGTTCCCCCGCCCCCCCCAAAAAAAATCCTAATTCACTCCATCAGTCTAGAATTGCAAACTAAATTCAGCACCATATAAAAAGAATTATACAACAGGACCAAGTATGATTTATTCTTATAATACAAAGATAGATGTATGAAATCAATGTAGTATACCTTAATAGAATGGAGAAGAAAAACTACATTTTTGTATCAACTAATGCAGAAAAAGCATTTACAAAACTCAGCATCCTTTCATGATAAAAAAAAAAAAAACACTAGACAAACCAAGAATAGAAGGAAATAACCCTAACACTCTAAAAATCTACAAATGAAAAACACACAGAATATTTTCTTTCAATATAGAAAAAGAATTTTTTAGCCAGAACAATTAGGCAAGTAAAATAAACAAACACCCAAATTGGAAAGGAAGTAGTAAAATTGTCTCTTCACAGATGCAGTGGTATGTAGAAAACCCTAAGATTTTATCAGAAAAAAAGTTGTAAGTAATAAATCCATCAATGTAGCAGTATACAAAGTTAACACACATTAGTTCCTTTTCTAGATACTAACAATGGACAATTTGAAAAGGACATTATGAAAACTTTGAGTAGCATCAAAAAGAATAAACTACCAAGGAATTAACCAATGATATGAAAACTTGTACAATAAAAACTATACAAGCCGGCTAAAAGAAATTAAAGACACAAGTAAACTGATACATATCCCATGATTATGGAGGAAGATTTATTATTGCCAACATGCTAATGCTACCTCTCAAGCAATCTACAGATTTAATGCAATTCCTGTCAAAATTCTAATAATATTTTTTCACAAACAGGAAAGTCTGTCTTAAAACTCATATAGGGTTTCAAGAGACCCTGAAATATCCAAAACAACCTTGGTTATATCTTGTAGAGCTCACATTTTCTGAAGTAAATACTACCGTAATCAAGATAATGTGGTACTGGCAAAAAAGACACCGATAAACCAATAAAATAAAGAATCTAGAAATAACTTGCATATATGGTTCAAATGATTGTGACAAGAGTGTCAAGACCATTTGATGGATAGAGGACAATCTTTTAAACAAATGGAAAATTGGACATCCACATGCAAAAGAATGGAGTAGAACCTTTAGCTAGCACAATATATAAAAATCAACTCAAAATGGGTCAAAAGTCTAAACGTAGAACACAAAACTATGAAACTTAGGAGAAAATATAGGGGTAAATCTCCAAGATCTTGGATTAGACAATGATTTCTTGAACATGGCACCAAAAGTGCAGGCAACCAAAGAAAAAATAGACAATTTTAAAAAAATTGAATCTAAAGACAGTATCAACAGAGTAAAAAGGCAATTCACAGAATGGAAGAAAATATTTGTAACTCAAGCATCTGATAAAGGTAAAATCCAGGGTATTAGAAAATTCATAAAACTGAGCAACAAAAAACAAGCAACTAATGAAAAAATGGGCAAGGGCCTGGAATGGACATTTCTCAAAAGAATATCTACAAATCACCAACAAGCCCTTGAAAAGATTCTTAGCAATACAGATCATTAAAGAAATGCAAAAATAAAACTACAATGAGATACCACTTCATATCCATTAGGGCAGCTACTATTAAAAACAACAACAACTACAAAAATACAGAAAATAACAAGTGCTGGTAAGGATATCGAGAAAATGGAACCCTTGTGCAGTGTTGGTTGAAAACTGAAATGATATAGCTGCTGGAAAACATTATTGTGGTTCTTTAAAAAAAAAAAAAATCCAGGCATGATGGTGCACCCCCCATAATCCCAGGAATTGGGAGACTAAGGCAGGAGGATCACAAGTTCAAGGCTAGCCTCAGCAACTTAGGCCCCAAGCAATTTAGCAAGATCCTGTCTCTAAACAAAAAACTAAAAAAGCCTGTGAATATCTCTATGGTAAAGCACCCCCAAGTTCAATCCCCAGCAGTATAAAAAAATGTATACCTCAACTCAATTTTTAATCCATGTGGACTTTTAAAGTCCATAAGGAATTTAAAACTAATAACAAAACTTTCCATGCTGCTACTTTTTTTACTGTGTGACAGTAAATTCTTATTCTAGTTCTGAGAATACCTTCAAAATATGACTTCTGATCAGAGGTGCCACTATGGCCATGAAACTATCCATCCTGCCTTGGAAGTACATGTTGACCACGGAGAAGACTGCCACATTTATTAATGCAGCTTAAATGGAGAGGGGATAGCATGGTATATACCTAATCCAGCCTGCTGGTTACCAGCTGTGTGCCTCAGAAAACTAACTTACCCTCTTCAAACCTCCTTTTCCCATTCTATAAAACGCAGAGTGAAATAAGTGAAAACACATTGGGAGGACGAAGGGAAATGGGCTGGCACAAACTCAATACTGTCATGGTGGCCAGGCTGTGCAGCTACTTTGATGAAATGACTTATTTCTAGAAAGAAAATCCTCTATTTTTAACACAGCACCTGACATGCCATCTATTCTCAATGTTTTCAGTTTTTAGAGACCGGAAGAACAATAGTTGTAGACTCTGATTGCTGCAAGGGGATTGGACTTTGTACATTGTCATAAGTTGTGTAATCCTGATAAATTAAGAAATATTCCCTCTTGGCAAATAAGCTTTAACCTCAAACAAACCCACACATCTTTTGTATCCAAAAGCAACACTGGATGTCCTGTTAGCTTTTGCCAACTATGGATGAATCCCAAAGCCAATGAGGGCCCTCTCTGACCCCATCACTGGAAAGCTAAAGTAAACACTCTGACTTACCTGACCTGGTTGGGACTCCATTTGTGGTATCCAGGGCCCTGTTCTGCAGCAAAGCTCCCACAGCACTGGTAACAGTTGGTTCTTTTTTGGGACTCACCTGAGCCCTGCCCTAGAGAGAGGGAGGGAGAGACGGAGCACAGTTCTATAACCACAGGTACCATATGCCAGAGGCTGTGTCCTTTAACTCATCTGCAGGAACCCCCTGCACCCAGGTAAGGGAACAAGCACACCCTACACCTCAGCTTGGATCCTATCCTTTCTTTAAAAAAAATTTATTTGTAGACAGACACAATGACTTTATTATTTATCCTTTTTATGTGGTGCTGAGGATTGAATCGAGTGCCTCACACGTGCAAGGCGAGTGCTCTACCACTGGGCCATAACCCTAGACTGGATCCTGTCCTTCTTGTAGGTGGCTCAAAGCCACATTTGGGTTTGGAGTTTTCATTCCATAATCAAGCCCTTGTGGTTGTTGAAGGTAAGCTTATTCTATAAAATCAGGTATACGGAGACGTAATAAACTACTTAATGTCAATAAGAACATGGTTATGGAACATCATATTTTTTCATTCCACTTGAAAATAATTTTGTTTTCTAACATGAATAGAGAAGAAGAACAGAGATGGGCAGGCAGAAAATGTTTTAAGCATGGCATTCCAACACCCCCAGCCATATCTATACCTGCAGAGCAGCCACAGAATGGTTAGATAAACACAAAATAAGAACCAAAACATCCCTGATGAGCTCCTCTTTACCTCACAACTGATGCACCTCCTAGTCCCATAGAAACTACAGTAGAAAGATGACCCGCTACTCAGAGTGTTCTCACCCAGGCAAGGACGGCCGTGAGATGGTAGCAGATAGCTCAACCCCATCCAAACCAAAGAAAGCAATTCTTAGAGGCCCATATTGGTCTCTTTTGGTTAAGGGTATGACACATTTTAAAGATGATTATATTTAAAATAGAAACACATTGTTGCTGTGCGGGTAACAGTCCTTCAAAACTGAAACATCCCCTCCCTTCTTGTCCCATTTCTGAATAAGCTTCACTATTAGGCAAGGCCACAAGTAGTGACGCTGGCATAAGGGAAGCAGACACTGCCATTCAGATAGACTGGAAAGCAAGCAAAGGAATGCAGAAAGCAAGCGAGCTTTCTGCTGTGTTCCCAGTCACCCCGCTTAGCTCTGGAAAATAAGGAGAGGAACAGGGCCAAGTCACTGGTTACACTCAGGACAGCCAGCTGGCTTTCTTCAGGAATAAAAACCACTTCCGTTCACCACTTCTCTGTGCCTTCTTTGGTCTCACTAATGCCAACTGACCTCGTGGACTGGTTAGAAGAATCACTTGCAGAAATGTTACTAGCCCTCTTCTGCTTTACAAGGCAGAGGGGGAGTTCACACTTACACACTGTTCCAAGTGTAAGTTGAACTCAAGCCCAAAGCAGTTACAGCCCTCCCAAATTGGGTGCCAACCCTAAGGAGAGGAAGGGGCTCCTGCAGAGAGGAAGGGTAGAGGAACCTGGATGAACACACTGATCTCAGCTGTCTATAATCCTCCTGCAACTCAGCAAGGCTCCCAGGCTCAAGCCCATCGTATAGATCCGAGTGAGTCTCAGAATTTACCTACAAACAATGGACTGCAGAACTGAGGTCAAACTCTGAGTACTGACTGCAGAGTTCTGGCTCTTTCAACACTGCACTACTCTCCAGGCTCCCTCATCTGTAAGGGCTGAGTCTCTAAAATTGTATTTATGACCACCAGCTCATGCACCCCCGCCCACCGCAACACACCACAAACCCTCCCCGCTCCTGTGCTCCTTTAGCTAGATTAATAGTTTAGGTTGAGCATCCCTAACTCCCAAATCTGACATCTGAAATGCTCAAAAATCAGGAAGTTTTGAGCACCAATATAAAAACCACCACAAGTGGAAAATTCCACATCTGACCTCATACGATGTGCCAGTCTAAACACAGACATGTGAAAAATACCTTCAGGCTCTGTGAGATGAATATGAGCATATATGAACTGTGTATTAGACTTAGGGGTCCCCCCAAGATATCTCATTGTGTGTATGCAAATATGCCCCCCAAATTTAAAAAACATAAAAATCTTGAAACACTTCTGGTCCTAGTTATCTCGGATAAGGGGTACTCAACCTGTATTATGAACAGAAGCCCACTTTTACACTAGAACCCAATCATCAATAAATCCACCCTGGCTCCTACCCCCCTTCATTCTCTTAACCCAGACCCTGATTTTTCCCATTGCTGTGGCTCCTTCCTGGTCTCCCACAGTCTTGGACAGAAATTGCAAGAATAACCTTTCTAAAAAGCCAGTTGTATGTCACATTAATTTCCACTGTTCAACTAGTCTACCTATGGGATGATGCATGAGGCCACTAGTAGACAACCAGATGGAAAGCCAAGAAAACCAGTTTGCAGAGGAGGCAGAAGCACAGCAAGAGGGAGCACTGGGACGGACAGTGGGAAGGAGGACTTCCTAGGTACCCCGGGATTTCCAGTTCCTGTTTTTGAGCCCTGGGCCTTGCTGTCCTCAGATTTTAATGCCTCTGTTTGCTCAGTTCCTCTTGTTCCCTAGTCCGAACTGGCTTGAATTAAAGTCCTTCTAGATCAGCTGTCCACGTTGCCTGTGCCATCCTGTCATTTCCCCACAGACTTTGGGTGGCATCTCAGGCAAGACATTTTTTGCACCCTGTCCTCCCCCCGCCCCCCGCCAACTCTGAGCTGGGGAGCTCATTTTGACACTTAAAAGATAATGTTTGCTTACCTTCGAAAATGCCCAGGAATCCCATGGGCATCTCCTCCACAGCCCTCCTACATACATCAGTGAAAACACTCTTGTATTGTATTGTTTCCAAGCTCCCTACTTTGAATTACAAATATCTGATCAACAGTACCTGGCGTGGTGTCTGGTATACAGCTGATATTGAGCCATTCCCTGATAGATGAGGAGAGAGAGCCCAGAATCATAGTCTACTATAGAATACACCAGTGTTGGAAATTGTCCCATCCCCATGAGATACTGGATTTAATGGAAAGCTTTCTAAACATGTTATCTGCTCTTAAAGTAATTCAGACCAACTTAATATGTCTCTTGCTGGCTGACTCGAGTTTGTGAAACTACTGGTTTCCATGCTGCACTGTGAATTAGGACCTTTGATGTGTATGGAGCTGTGTGCTGACTCCAATTGTGAGGTTATAATGTTATTGTTATCCAGCTCAGGTTGTCATTTTACCTATTTGTATGTATTTGTAACAGCTGCTTCCATTCACCCACATACTTTAACTTGCTGGTTCTGTAGCCTTAAACAAAAGGCTGAAGACATCTCTCCTCTACAGATCACAATGTAAACTTACAGAGCATCTTCCTGTGATTCTCCATCCATGCCCCCAGGCCACTTCCACTCAGTTCTATTCTGGGTGGTTTAGGCTGATAATCTCCAACAGATAAATAGGGGTTTAGCATAATGCTACATAAACACATTTTATATATTCCAGTCTTTATCCTAAGAAGCTTTGAGCACTTTTAGAAATATTTTTTCCACAATACCCCAAGGTATTGCGGGCTAGAAAGCATGCCTTCCAAAAGAAGAAACACCCAGGGGGGTGAGTGACAGTAATCAGATCTCTTGATCCTTACACTTCTTAGGATGGGTATTTGAGGTTCTTGCAAATTCTACCTGCTTGCCCCAGGCATGCAAGGACACAAAGCCAACACCTGGGGAGAGATATTTACCTGAGCTCTGGATGCCAATTTGGCTGCTGTCTGAGCTGGATCAAAGACTTTTCGAGAAGACTGATCCTTGCAGAAATTTATATGTCGCGTGGCTGCAGTTTCATTAAACCTCCTCATACAATATGGGCACTGAATATAATCTGAATGTAGAGATAGAAACAAGTGGTAATTAATGTTTCAAAAACACTTATGGAATGGACTATATGGAATAAATAGAATGTGAACTCTGCTCCAACAAGAAAGGACAAGGTCCCCAACTCTGGCTTGAGATAGCCTATTCCAGAAAGGAAGACTTGAAAGGGTTCAAATAAAAAAAAAATAAAAAAAAAACATAATAGGGAAAGTTTTTACTAGTGAGGCACTCATTTCAATAAGAATGTGCCCTTAAAATGTTTATAAGATATCTCTTGTAGACAAAAGATTAATTATACTCAGGGACTTCCCAATTAAACAAATTATTTAGTGAATCCTTGTTTAAAATATAGCAGTCCTGGAATCACAGAATGTTAGTATTAATGGTACAGAAGGGCACAAAAGATTCACAAAAAGCCCAGACTCTCGTACTGGGTGAGACAGAGGTCACAAAGAAATTATGGAGTTTCAGAGGGAGATGAGATTTAGTTTTAAAATGTGGGCTTGGGGGATGGGGTTAGCAGAAAGACACACTGTTTTTGCAGCCGCTAGATTTTTTACTGAACTAAGAGAGGAAGCAAACAATACATTCAAGAAAGGATATGGTGAAAGGATAAAAGGTGGCCAGGGTGAAAAAACAGAAAGAAGAAGAGGGGTGATAACTATGTGACTTCAGAAACAGCCTTGACTTCTGAGCTGCAAGACCCTGGCAGCCCAGGTAGGTCTTTCTGTGGTTCTGAGAAACACCTTTTTTTACCTGATTTTTTTTTAAGTTTCATTTGTAACTATTGCACGTAATTAGCTAGAGAAATGGGAGGTGAGAAAGATTCAAGATCTTTTTGGAATGTGGGGCTGTGCATAGCAAAGTGGGAAGGTCAGGGTCAACTCCTCTCCAAAGCCTGCAGGGATTAGGGTTTGCTTTGTTTTGATTTAGGCACCTTTAAGGGATAACAAAGGGGATATGTATGACATAAAAGAAGAATTTCCCCTCAAAGAGGGTCAACCCAAACTCAGGATAGAAATTCAGATTGGCACATAGTCAAAATTCCTACATGAGTGGTTGGCTATTTAATGCAGTGATGTCTTCAAGGTTAAGAGCTTTTTGTAAGCAGTTTGGGGAGTTTTCTATTTGAACAAATCATTTCCTAAAACTGAATACTCCTAAAGTATAAGAATCATTTAGAAATGATCTAGGAGTCTTACTCTTTATCCCACATGAAAGAAGGCAGCACCTAATCCTTAATCTAATACTTACTGAACACCTACTATGTGCCAGGCACTGTTTTATATGTGGGGATACAACAAAGGAATAAGCATTCTGATATAGAAACAAAAATAGAAAAATTTCACATGGTGATAAACGCCTTAAAAAAAATAAAATGAAACAGTGGGATTGATGAAGACCTTAAGCTCTGGAGCCTGCCTAACTGGTTTGGAGCCTGAGTTCTTCACTTACTGTATGAACTTGGGGGAGTTACTCAACCTCCTTAAGCCTCCATTTCCTCAGCACATACATATCGTGTATTTCATCAAGTTATTGTGAAAATTAACTGATAATCCACACGAGGGAGGGCTGGCATAGAAGGAGGGTTGGATCTTTTGCTGAGTGTTTTATAAATGACAGCTATTGCCATAGGGAAACAGGTCCAGCAAGGCTGGGTTTCCAACCACCAAATAAGAGTACAACTGCTTAGGAAAAAACTAACATAGAAAGTACCATCATCGTTCAGAACTCATGATGTTGTAGAAAACCCATCTAGAACTTGGTGCTTCAGTTGGTGGTTATTTCTTTGGTTTTACCAGCTAGAAACTTAAGTCTTATGTCAGAAATGCTGCTCATGAAACCCTGCTTGGGTCAGGCAGAGACAATGACCATGGAAGTGCAGGGCTGCTCTCATATTCCCATTTGTCTGTTCATCCATTGACACCCTCTACGTGTATGGCACCATATGCCACCGCGCAAGCAACAAGACTGAAGTGCATTTCCTGCCCCCCAAAATCTCAGAGACGATGGGACAAAGACACAATTACCACTTGGTGGGATGAGCTGTGGGAGGAGGGAGCACCAGGCCCTCTGTAGTCCACAAGAGGGACGTGAAGTCCAGTCATAAGAGTGGGCAGGGACTGCCAGTTGCATTTATATTGAATGTCAAATATTTTGAGAATGGAAAAGTATTTTTCTAATGCAGTCATTTAAACATGGAGTGATTGAGTTACATGTTCTATCCTCATCTCAACTGGAATCACTTCTTTTCCTCCATCAATTATGCTTTTGTAAAAATCACTGTCCTATATATTTCAAAAGATAATGTTTTAAAGAGTCAGATTACATATGGCTTCTTATGAGAAATGTGGTGGCCAGATTACATATCAAATTAAAGTAGAAAACAAATATCATTTTAAAATGTAAACATTATATTGAGACCACTATGTACTCATATAAAATGGTGACCAAATGTCACAGGCCTCACAGAATAACTCCTAATCATGAATATTATACATCACTATCCCTATAAAGTGTCACAATATCCTGGAAATTTGAATCATTGGCAGATTTAGTTGATCAGTAAAAACTAGAATAAATAAATATATGCCACGAGAAAACATGACAATAGGGAATAAGTCTGGGAAAAAAGGAAATTACTTGCAAACTCATGTGTATTAGGCCATATTATATATAATTCTGGTTGTGTGTGTGTGTGTGTTAAATTTTTTAGTAACTAAGTCTTGAGAACTGGGCTAACGTAAAATCTCTGTACAATCAAAATAATCAAATTGTAACGAAAATGTGTGATTGTATATAATCATTTTATTTGTTGCATAAAATTATAGTTAAGTGTAAGGAAGTAATTATAAAAGCTATTTTGGCATAAAAATGTAAAAGGAAGAAAAATAAGTTGAACTTGTAATGAGGTCTTGCAAAGGGATTTTTTTTTTTTTTGGAGAAACACTAATCCCTGCATTTTAGATCCAACTTGATAATGAGAAAAATTTCCACTGCAAAACATCTGATATGGTTTCACTTATACAATTAAAAAACCATAAGGTAGTCATCAACTATAGCTTCTGATCTTAAAATCAAGCTATTTCTCATAAAAGATTTTTTTCTATGAAGCTTGTTACCAAAGTACTTGTTTATTCCTAAAATTGATTTTTCTACCAAACAGCTTAAGACGACACATTATGTTAAGCTACATTTTCATAGAACACAGCAAAAGTGAAGCAATTGTGAAGACTATTTTCTGGAGTAGAAGTTCAGATGATTTTTATATTATGATTACACTGTGGCTTCTTTCGTACTTTTTCAAATGAACCTTTTGAGAAATAATTTACACACAGGCTCATACTGAGAAAAGTATACAGTTCAGTGAGTTTTGACAAACATACAAATTTGTATATCCAATTTTCATTAGCCCCCAAAGTTCCCTCAGGGCCCATTTCAGAAATATTTCACCAAACCTAGTCTCAGGCAATCAAAGATTCATTTTCCTGTCACAATAGATAAGTCTTATTTGTTCTATAATTTCATATAACAGAACATCCATGCTTCTGCATGAACAGTAGCACTTCCTTCTTACTGTTGAGAAGTGTTCCATTTTCTAAATAATGTACAATTTATCTATTCACATTCATTTTCAGTTGTTTCCAGTTTATGCTCTATGGATAAACCTTTGAACCTTCAAGTACAAATCTTCTTATGGATACATTTTTACATAAATAACTAGAAATGGACTTTCTGTGGGGTTTTGGTTAGGAAAATACCACTAGTGTTCAGTGGTTGCATTATTTTACACTTTTGTCAGCTGTGCATGAGGCTTTGGTTGCTCCATATCCCAGCCAGTGCTTGAATTGTGTCTTTAATTTTAGCCATTCAAGTGGGCATGCTGTTGTATCTCATCATAGTTTTCATTTATTTTTCCCACAGTAAAATGATGTTGAGTATCTCTTCATGAGTTTATGGGTTATTATTTCCTGATGTATTTGTTCAAACACCCCTCCTGTCCTTTTCTCATTAGGTTGTCTCACTATTGTGTTGTAAGAGTTCTTCATATGTTCTTGAGGTGAGCCCTTTATCAGATATATGGGTTATAAATATTTGCTCCCAGTCTGTAGCTTGCCTTTCCATTGTCTTAACAGTGTGTCTCATAACTGAAAATTTTAATTTTGGTGCAGCCCAATTTACAAAATTCCTTTTTTAAAAAAAAGTTAGTACATTTTGTGTCCTGGTTAAGAAATCCTTGTTGACAAATTTTTGGAGTTTTCTTTAATTGAACTTTTATAGTTGTAACATTTAGGTCAATGATCCACTTTGAGTTAATTTTTATATACTGCATAAGAATCAGGGTTCATTTTTCCTTATGGGTATCCAGTTATTCCAGTATCATTTGTTGATAAGACTATCCTTTTCCTCATTTAATTACTTTGGCACCTTTGAAAATTATCAACAGCCTGCAGATTTGGGGGAATACTATGTCTAGATTCTTTTTTTTTTTTTTGAAAAAATGTATTCTTTTTTAGATATGCATAACAGTAGAGTATAGTTTAACATATTATACATGCATGGGGTATAACATTCTAATTAAGCTACTATTCTTGTGGTTGTACATGATGTGGAGATTCACTGGTCATGTATTCGTATATGAACATAGGAAAGCTGTGACCAATTCATTCTGTTCCCATCCCCATCCCTTTTCCTTCATTCCCCTTTGTCTAAACCAATGAACTTCTATTCTTCCTCCCACCTCGCCCCTTATTGTGTGTTAGCATCTTCACATCAGAGAGAACATTAGACCTTTGGTTTTTCTGGGATTAGCTTATTTCACTTAGCATGAGAGTCTCCAGGTCCATTCATTTACCAACAAAAGTCCTAAAGTCATTTTTTTAAACAGTTCAGTAATATTCTATTGTGTATATATATTACATTTTCTTTATGTATTCATCTATTGAAGGGCACCTAGGTTGATTTGTTAGCTTAGCTATTGTGAATAGACCTGCTATAAACATTTAT